TACTACATTACAGACCCTAATAAACAGTAACACAGGAAAGTACTGCTCAGTTGCTCTCATTTGAATGGTCACACTTAAAGTTTGCATCCAGAGACACAAAAGCGACAACTTCCTTACAAAGCCTACTAAACAGTACCGCAGGAAAGTACTGCTCAGTAGCTCTCATTTGAATGGTCACACCTAAGGTTTGCATCCGGAAACTCAAAAGCGACAACTTCCTTACAAAGCCTAATAAACAGTACCGCAGGAAAGTACTGCTCAGCAGCTCTCATTTGAATGGTCACACCTAAGGTTTGCATCCGGAAACTCAAAAGCGACAACTACCTTACAAAGCCTACTAAACAGTACCGCAGGAAAGTACTGCTCAGTAGCTCTCATTTGAATGGTCACACTTAAGGTTTGCATCCAGAAACTCAAAAGCGACAACTTCCTTACAAAGCCTAATAAACAGTACCGCAGGAAAGTACTGCTCAGTAGCTCTCATTTGAATGGTCACACTTAAGGTTTGCTTCCAGAAACTCAAAAGCGACAACTACCTTACAAAGCCTAATAAACAGTACCACAGAAAAGTACTGCTCAGTAGCTCTCATTTGAATGGTCACACTTAAGGTTTGCATCAAGAAACTCAAAAGCGACTTCCTTACAAAGCCTTATAAACAGTACCACGGGAAAGTACTGCTCAGTAGCTCTCATTTGAATGGTCACACTTAAGGTTTGCATCCAGAAACTCAAAAGCGACAACTTCCTTACGAGGCCTAATAAACAGTACCGAAGGAAAGTACTGCTCAGTAGCTCCCATTTGAATGGTCACACTTAAGGTTTGCATCCAGAAACTCAAAAGCGACAACTACCTTACATTACAGGGTTCGCACAGTCTTGAAAAGTCCTTGAATTTTGGGGGAAGTACTTGAAAAGTCCTTAAATTTCTGTGCAAGTCCTTGAAAAGTCCTTGAAGTTTCTTCAACTTTGAATGTAGTGGCCTGGAAAGTGTTTTTGATGCTGTTTGATTGTCTAAGACAGAATATAAATCATAGGTCGGAGAATTTAAAGGTTATTTACATAAAGTGCTCTATGTTTTATGCAATAATTAACTATCAATTTAAGACAAGTGAACTGAAAAGGTGAAGTAAACCGTTCAAGCCTTAAAGTCTTATTAGAATAGACTGGAAATGTGCACTTTTGTACAATCTGTGAAATTATATTCCTAGTAGGTGGTCCTTGAAAATCTAATGTGGTCGTTGAAAAGTCCTTTAAAAATGGTTGCATTTTTTTGTATGAACCCTGTACAAAGCCTAATAAATAGTACCAAAGGAAAGTGCAAATTTCAGCAAAAGAGATATTATCAATGGTTAGTGGTCCCTCATGAATTCTTTTTATATGTCCTTAATAACTCTACAGGAGCAGCTTGTGTATGGTTAAAGGAACTAAGTAATAACAGTAGTAGAGAATTGGCTTTAAACAGCAGTATCCTTGTGCCGTAGTCCCTTTAACTCTTGGCCAACTGTCAAATTTCAAGTCAGACTCTAAAGAGAAATCAGGGGACTTTGACTTTTCTCTCTTTCTATATCAGGTTTTGCTCAATATGATTGATTTTGGGATGGACCCTCAACAAGCGTTAGACAAACCAAGGTTTTGTATACATACCAAAGGACAAGAGACTGGCTTAGTTTTCTTAGAGGAAGGCATCACAAGCGATGTTGCCACGAAACTCGAGAGGCTTGGGCACGAAATTGAATTCCCTGTCTGTGGACATGAAAGAAGTGTATTTGGAAGGGGACAAATAATCGCCCGAAAAATAGCACCTTGCAAAAATGGACTTGATATGGCTGTTTACTGGACAGGGTCTGATCCCAGAGCAGATGGAATGGCTATTGGGTTATGACGAACTCTGCATGGGTCAACTAGTTCATATGGAATAGAGCGATTTTCGTATGACCTTGAAAAATGGTTTCGGTAAGTGTTCGTTATTTGTTTTATCAGCCAATGGATAAAAAGATCAAAACATGGCCTCTTTGTTTTCCCCCCAAAGAAAACCCTAATAGGGAGAAGGCATTGTTCGATTGGCCAATAGTGTTGCATTGTGACGTCAAAGCGAAGTATCGGTTGATTTCTTGAAAGTTCTCGAGCATGAAGTTTTTTCACCCGACCTTTCGCTTAACCAACCAAAGGTCACGCGCGTTTGTGTCCGTTCCATAAACCAATCAAATCGCTCTATTTTCGTTCGTTTGTTGTTTCTGTTTTTTTCGCGCGTTTTCATTTCAAGGTCATACGACAATCGCTCTAATAGACAAAACTACATCTATAAGGTTGTGGCGACTGTGTAGTGACTAATCTGTTGAACTGTAGCGGTTAAGAACTTTGTCTAAGTTTCACTGTTTGAGATCTTCGAGAGGGAATGTCATGTACAATTATCAATTGGTTCAAGCTGAGCTGAAAATGTGACTAATTATTTTCAGTGTACTTTTGCCATACTTAGAAATCTAAAAGAAAGGTATCAAGT